AAGTGAGTATACCTCATCTAAAGGTTTCTATCTGTAGCTCAGGGATGCTGATAAGGTTTTCCTGCCATATGATACTTACGATAACTCTGGATGTGGGTAAGAGCCCATTGCAGGGTTTATTGTACTAGCTTTTGGGGATCTGTTCCCAAAAAAGAGAAAGGAAAATTCAGTCTGGTTAGACACTTTGCTCTCAGCCTTGTCAAATCCTGATCAGGAACCCCAGCCATGCCATGCCAGAATTCTGACCGACACAGACATGAGCTAATAAATGAATTCTGTTTGAAGCTGCTAAATTTATAATTTCTAATACAAAGTGCTATCCTTTAAGAAAAATCAGGAAGACTTTGTGGCCAGAGAAATTGTTCAAATTCTCTGCTTCATAGGACCCTAAATTGGAAATTTAGTTGCTTCCTGGTATGTTACTACAATTCACTTTAACTTTTTCTCTAAAGTTCCTGTGTGAAACAAGAGTTCTTTATCTTTAGTTGCCTTCTCTATAAAACAAGAGTAGTCTATATTATCTCCCCCACAGAGCTATTATAAAAATTAAGGTCTACGTGTATAAAGATCTGTGAGAGCAGCTTAGAAACAAACTATAGTGAAAGTGATATGATATGAAATTACTTATCAGTTAGCTGTTATCTATAAAATAAAAGCGTAATATGCTAATTAGACCAGACATCCTTCTGGACATCTTTCCATCCAGACAAATCTGTGCTGGGCGGGGGTTGGGGCCAAGGCACTTGCACGAATTTCATGTATCAGGCCTCTAGTAACTAATAAATGTTGTCACTGTTGTTTAGGATCTTAGACTCTTATAGAGAGGGTAAAGTATGTTAGTAAATATATGTATATTGGTTCATGGTACTGAGGAGAAAGTGCAAGCAGTGTCTGAAGAATGGGAAAATCCTATATAATAAAAGCCTAATGTGCTAAGTGTCTGCTCATCCATTCAACCAATCAAAGCATAATATGCTAATGATATGCTAAGGCTGCTCAACCACTCGCTATGACATGAACTGACCACCACGGGACAGTCGGCTAGTCACTATGACATGTACTGACCACCAGAGGGAAGATGCCCCAAATGATAGGTTAACTTGCTGCTGGGGTCCAGCCGATCGGGACTGAGCAAGACGGGCTGGACATGCCCTGGACCCTCCCGTGGTCCCTCCCCAGATGGCCAACCTCCCGCGTCCTTCCCCAGCCCTGATCGTGCACTGGTGGGGAACCTTGGCCTGGTCTGCACCCTCTCATAATCCAGGACCACTCAGGAGATGTTAGAGAGCTGGTTTTGGCCTGATCTCGCAGGCCAGGCTGAGGGACCCCACTGGTGCACAAATTCGTGCACCGGGCCTCTAGTAGACTATAAATCTCACCTGATAAAACGAATGCACTCTCTCAGATAGGAGACTCAATTCTGTGTGATATCATTTTAGAATATTCTACAACTGAGAGCCCTATCAACATGGCTAATCAGCAGAGGTGCCAACTTGAGTATTTCTAAGGATATATTATACCATCCTGTCTTCAAATCTATTTCTGTTATGCTGCATATATGGGATTCTGTGAGTCATTACCTCTACCTAAGGTTTATTTAAAAGTTGCTTCCGGGTATGTTACTTTTTCTCTAAATTTCCTGCATGAAACAAGAGTTCTGAATTCAAATGAAATGCACAGTGGAATAAGCAAAGTAAATTTTACTTACTTTGTATCTCTTAAAAAAAAAAGAAGAAATGAGAAAGAAATTTTTAAAACCAGACCAGAATTCACAAGTGACCTAGAACATTGAGCAGCATGAACCCCCCAGTGAATATAATCAGCCCTGGCAATGGGCTTCCTTGGAGGATAAGGATCTCCATTTAACGAATATTTACATGGCTGGGACCTAGGGGAATTCATGTCCACACTCCCAGCCTCGGTTTACTTTTTTCAGAAATTGAGAGAATTTGACTCACTGTTTTCCAGGAGACTCTAGCTCTGCAATGTTCAAGTACCACTATGTGCAAAGCACCCTGCTAGGAATGATGAGAGATACAAAAATGCCGTCTGTAGTACTTATCCACTTTGGGCTTTAGTTTTCTCACATGTAAAACTGGGTGGATGCGAGGGTTCAGGATGTACTTGTTTTGTTTATTTATTAATTAAAATTTTTATCCAGTTAATTGGGGTGACATTGGTTAATAAAATTATACAGGTTTCAGGTATACATTTTTACAATACATCATCTGTATATTGCATTGTATGTTTACCACTCAAGTCAACTCTCCTTCCATCACCATTTATCCCCCTTTTATCCTCTTCTACCTCCCTCCACCCCACTCCCTCTGGCAGTCTCCATACTATGTCTGTGCTCAGGAGTCTTTTTTTTTTCTCTTTCCTTAATCCCTTCACCAATCTCATTCAGCCTGGTTGTGTGGTTTGATATCATGATTCCTCTAACTGTTCTTCTTTCTCAAGATTGCTGTGGCGTATTTGGGGTCTTTTGTGGTTCCATTTAAATTTTTGGAGTGTTTGTTCTAGGTCTGTGAAATATGCCGTTGGTGTTTTAATAGAAATTGCATTGAATCTGTAGGTTACTTTGGGTAGTATGGACATTTTAACGGTGTTGATTCTACCAATCCATAAAGTGGTATATTTTTCCACTTGTTTATATCTTCCTCTACCTCTTTTCTTAACATCCTGTAGTTTTCAGAGTACAGGTCTTTTAGCTCCTTGGTTAAGTTTATTCTTAAGTATATCGATATTTTTGTTGCAATGGTAAATGGGTCTTTTTTTTTAGTTTCTCTTTCTGAGAGTTCATTATCCTACATAATAAAAGCCTACTATGCTAAGTGTCTGGTCATCCAGTTGGCTGTTCAACCAATCAAAGCATAATATGCTAGTGATATGCTAAGGCCACTCAACCACTCACTATGATGTGCACTGGCCACCAGGGGGAAGATGCTCTGACCAGTAGGTGAACTTGCTGCTGGGGTCTGGCCCATTGGGACTGAGCAAGATGGGCCGGACATGCCCTGGAGCACTCCTGCAATCCCTGTCTGGCCCCGATTGTGTACCCTCAGCCTGTCCTGCACCCTCTCACAATCTGGTACCACTCAGGGGATGTCAGAGATTGGTTTTGACCCAATCCCACAGGCCAGGCTGAGGGACTGCACTGGTGCACGAATTCGTACACCGGGCCTTTAGTTGGTGTATAAAAATGCCATGCATTTTGGGGTGTTAATTTTGTATCCTGCTATGTTTCTAAATTCATTTATTAAATCTAGTTTTTTGGTGGTCTTTAGGTTTTTCTTATGTACAGTATCATGCCATCTGGAAATAATGAGAGTTTTACTTCTTCCTTTCCAATTTGGATGCCTTTTATTTCTTCTTCTTTTCTGATCACTGTGGCTAGCACTTCCAGTGCTGTGTTGAATAAGCATGGTGAAAGCAGATATCCCTGTGTTCCTGATTTGAGGGAAAACTCTTTTAGTTTTTGCCCATTGAGTATGATGTTGGCTATGGGTTTGTCATATATGGTCTGTATTATGTTGAGATATGTTGCCTCTATTCTCACTTTGCTGAGAGTTTTTATCATAAATTGGTACTGGATTTTATCAAATGCTTTTTGTGCATTTATTAATATGATCATATTGTTTATGTGGTATACCACACTTATTTATTTGTGGATATTGTACTTACTTTGCACCCCTGGAATAAATCGCACTTGAGCATGGTGTATGATCTTTTTAATGTATTGCTGGATCTGATTTGCTAATACTTTACTGAGAATTTTAGCATCTATGCTCATCAGGGATATTTACCTATAATTTTCTTTCTTTTTAGTGTCTTTATATGATTTTGGAATTAAGATAATGCTGGCCTTGTAAAATGAGCTTAGGAGTCTTACCTTCTCTTGAATTTTTTGGCATAGTTTCAGAAAGCTAGGTGTCAGTTCTTTGAATGTTTGGTAAAATTCACCTGTGAAGCCCAGCAGGTTCAGGACTTTGGTTTGTTGAGATTTTTTTTATTACTCCCTCAGTTTCACTGGTTGTGATCTGTCTATTCAGATTATCCGATTCTTCCTGAATCTGTTTTTGGAAAATTATACGTGTCTGGGAGATTGTCCAATGTGTTGGCATATAGTTGTTCATAATATGTTCTTACAATTCTTTGTGTTTCTTTTGTGTCCATTGTTGCTTCTCCTCTTTCATGTCTGATTTTATTTATTTGGGTTCTCTCTCTCTCTCTCTCTCTCTCTCTCTCTCTCTCTCTCTCGCTCTCTCTCACTTTAATATATTTTTATTGATTTCAGAGAGGAAGGTAGAGGGAGAAAGAGACAGAAACATCAATGATGAGAGAGAATAATTGATTGGCTGCCTCCTGCATGGCCCCTACTGGGGACTGGGCCTGCAACCCAGGCATGTGCCCCTGACTGGAATTGAACCCGGAACCTTTCAGTCCATAGGCAGGACCTCTAACCACTGAGACAAACCAGCTAGGGCCTCTCTCTTTTTTTCTTTAAGAGTCTACTTATAGATTTGTTGATCTTTATATTTTCACAGAACCTGCTCTTGGTTTCACTGATCTTTTGTATTTTTTTTCCAACTCTATTTATTTCACCTCTGGTTTTTATTATTTCCATCCTGTCCTTCTACTCACTTTGGGATTTGCTTGTTCTTTTTTCCGTATCTTAAGTATAAAGTTAGATTGTTTATTTGAGATTTTTCTTGTTTCTTGAGGTAGGCCTATAATGCTATGAATTTTGCTCCTAGGACTGCTTTCCCTGTGTCCCATAGATTTTTGGTTGTTGTGTTCTCATTTTCATTTTTTTCAATGTATCTTTTTATTTTTTTCTTGATCTCATTGTTAACCCATTCATTGTTTAGTAACACAATATTTAGCCTACATATCTTTGTGTATTTTTCACTTGTTTTCTTGTGATTGATTTTTGAAAGTGCTCTCTACCTCCTATCTAATATCTCTAAAAAAGAATTAACAAACTCATAGGGTGTTGAGATGCTCATCTTTTCAATGTAAATATTAGTGCACATGTGAGAGATGACTCTATTGCATTTATTTTTTAGCAGCATGGATTCAATGACTTCAGCAGGCCCCCAGGCCAATACTGTGTTTGTGATGGCACCCCACAATGGGTATCCTGTGATCCCAGGAAGCATGTCTCAGGTGCCCCAATATCCACTCAACCAGCCCCAAGTCCACACAATTTCTGGGAATCTACATGGTTTGGAGCCGCCTGTATATACGCAACCTGACCAGAGATCCTTTAAAGAGGGCAAGGTTTTAGGGGTAAGTGAGATTTCGCACTGTGTGCACTGGCCACATGGCTGGAATCAGTGCAGGAAAGGAGGTTTAGAAACACAGAAACTCCAAATTCAGCAAGTGGGGCTGGAGTTGACCCAGCCTTGCCAAACTCAGGTGTATTAAAAAACTCAGCTGTGTAGCATCATCAGCTATCCATCTATCTATCTTGGGCATTTTAGGAAAGAGAAGGAAAAGCAACAAAGAAGCAGTAAATTGGAATGTTGGTCCTGTTGCCAGAATCCATGTTGACCCATGTGGCCTCTGGAAGAAGGTGGGCCCAGCCAGACAAAAGGTGGATTCTAGACCCAATTTGTTTGAATGGAATCTTTCTCCAATGGGAACAAGATAAGAGCTCACACTGATGTTCCCCCAAAATGGCTGTCCTGTGTGGGAAAAGGGGAAGCCCATTTCATTGCATGGTTGAATGATGACCATGGATTCTGATCCAGGATGCTCAGGTTGAAATCCTAGCTCCACCCCCATATACTACTCATAGTAATGTCAAATGATATAAAAATACCCAATAATCGCATTTATGAGACTTTGTCCTGCAGCCATGCCGGGACACAGGGGAAATATGACATGTATGAGGTTTTTTATTGCAGCATGTCTTGTGATAGAAAAAGAACAGAAATAACCAAAATACCCATCAATGTAATACTGGTTATATATCAATGTATTGTACATCCAAAGAAAGAAATGTGGAGCTAAAAAAAGAAACCTCCTTGTACAATGATATGGACATACCCACAAGCTGTATAATTAATGGGGGGGGGGGGGTGCGGATAGGAGGGTTAAGAGAAGACATGGCATGTAATTTGCTACCATTTGTGCAAGTTTAAGGAAATAATGTACTTGTATTCACTGCCATTTTTGTAGTATGTACACATATACATATACATATACATATACATATACATATACATATACATGTGTATATACCATTTGGCTAAGAATATGTATTAGTTTCCTGGAGCTGCCATAATACAGTACTGCAAATGAGGTGGCTGAAAACACTCAGCAATGTACTGTCTCACCATTCCAGAGGCCAGAAGTTTGTGATCATAGTATCCATGGGGCCATGCTCCCTCTGAAGGCTCTAGGGGTGGATCTGTTCCAGGCCATTTTCCCAGCTTCCAGTAGGTCCTTGGCTTGTGGCAGCATTACTCCCATCTTGGCATTCTCCTGTGTGCCCCTGTGACTCTTCACATGGTGTTCCTTTAAAAGGATAGCAGTCATGTTGGGGCCACCCTATTCCAGTGCACTTCATATTACCTAATTACATCAGCAGCAACCCTATTTCCAAATGATATTTCATTCTGAGGCCCTGGGGGCTTGAACTTCAAGATATTCATTGATGGGGGAGATGCAGATAAATTTCTATCCTAAACAATATCACCAAAATAACAGATGAGCACAAAGACTTATCTACAAAGATGTTTATCGCAATGTTGTTTATCATATGAAAACAGAAACAATCTTACCTGCCCAATATCTCTGTTCCAACTACTTCACAGATCATCCATGCAATGGAATGTGGGAAATCCTTAAAAAGCAAATGTTTAAAGAATACTTAATACCATAGGGATGTGTTCGGGATGGAATATTATTAAGTTAAATATGCAGGGCCTTTTTGAATACACTATATATATTTTTGAAACACACACACACACACACACACACACACACACACAAAACAATGGAGGGTTATACACCAAAATGTAAGTGATTGTAATTCTTTGAGTTGGGGAAAATTATGGCACGTTTTATTTTTATATTATTCATATAACTTTTTAGACCAAGAAAAGGAAATATTTTTTAAAATAAAAAGGAGGCCGAGCAGTGTGAGGGGTGGTGGGCTGTGGGTAGGCTCCAGCCTCAGAAACAAAGGTCTCAACTTTTGGCTCCCTTGACAGGCCATCCAAATCCTGATCGGCCTGATACACATTAGCCTGGGCATCATCCTGGGGACCATCATCCCTGGGCACTACACAGCTATCTCATTCTACGGAGGCTATCCCTTCTGGGGAGGCATCTTGGTAAGTAATGTCAGTCGCCCTGCAAGTGAGTTCCAGAAAGTGCCAACACACTGGCAAGCTGTGTACTTTGCTACAGAAGTTTTCCAGCCAAGAGAGCACGTGGGCTGTGCACCCAGCTCAGGCTTTATTCACCAGGAACATTCGTCTGCTTGGGCAGCCAGAACAAATAGCACAGACTCAGTGGCTAAACAACAGACATTCATTATCTCATAGTTCTGGATGCTGGAAGTCCAAGATCAAGGTGTGGGCAGGGTTGTTTCTCCTGAGGCCTCACTCCTCGGCGTGTAGGTGACTGTCTTCCTTCCTGTGTCTTCACATGGTCTTCCCTTTCTGTGTGTCTCTGTCCTCATATCTCTTCTTATAAGAACATCAGTCATATTGGATTAGAACCCACCGATAGGACCTCATTTAACCTTAATCACCTCTTTAAAGGCCCTATCTTCAAATACAATGCTCCTCAACTGATGATGAGGTTACACCTCAATCATCCATCGTAAATGGAAAATATCCTGCGTCAAAAGTGCATTAAATACTACACTGTAGAGAATGGGTTGTTCACCCTCATGATGACATGGCTGACAGGGAGCTGAGGCTGACTACTGCTGTCCAGCATCACCAGGGAGTATCTTAGCACATATAACTCATCCGGGAAAAGATCAAAATTCAAAATCCAAAGAACAATTTCTATTGAATGCATATCATTTTCACACCATTGTAAAGTAAAAATAAATAAAATAAAATAAGGCCAACTATAGTGAGTCTGGAAACAACTACACAGTCACATTTGGAGGTCCTGGGTGTTCAGACTTCAAAAGATGGATTACGAGGAGACAAAATTCAGATCATATACCAAGTGACAGCCCTGTAAGGTGCCATTGCCCCACAGCGGGCACCTTTGCTAATGAGCCCAACTCAAAGGTCAGGAAACCTTTTCCTACCCATCAGCCAAGCGCTCATATGTTCTTCAATGCAAGCCCAAGGCCAGAGCTCAAGAAGAAAAATGTTTCCACCAGGAGTTAAGAGTGGCTGCTCAGACACAGAACAGTCATTAAAATTAAACAGTAGGGACTCAACCTGGAATCCACAGATTAATATTTTGTAGTAACATATTAGATTTTTTTCTAAAAAGCCCATAGTTTTTATCACATTCTCAGGGTGATCTGGAACCTCTTAGAAGGTTAAGAACCACAGGTCCTTTCTCTTCTCCAATGTATTGCCTTTATGGTCCTTTTACATTCTTCCTAGTGCCCTTTCTGTTCAGCACAGACCCAAACTTGGAACTCAGTCAACCACAGACACCTGTGTGTATAACAGACTTCTGTGGAGTTTGGGAAAATGGAAAAAACTAACACTACAGCCACAGAACAGTTCCTATTGAGTGTTAGATTCTCTTAAGGCATTTCACAGGCCTTGGTGGCCATCTCCCCTTCCACCAGGCTGCTCAGGTCCCATCAGCCCTCATGACACCACCCTCCCTTTTCCCTGCAGGGCACCTTTGCTGTTCATTGCCTTCTTGTCTACAGGACTATCTATTTTCTAAATATCAGATGGTCCCCCTCCAAACCAAAGGCCCTCTTTTTAGGCACCTTAAAAGGACCAGCAGGGACACCAGAGATCTAGCCTTCTGTTTCCTTCCTTTCCTACAAAGTCTACAGAAAACATAAAATTGAGACTAATTTTCCCACTTATAGGAAAAATGGCATTCTTCTTACAAGGCACAGGTGGTTAGAGTAAGTTTTCATTGTGAATACTCATTTCCATTCCAAGACACAGGCATCTACTCTGAGGTGGAATGAGTGCAGGATGAGGGTTTAGAACATGAGATCTGGAGTCAATTACCTGGATTTGATTCCCAGATATGCTATTTGCTGGATGGTCTTGGGTGTGTTCTTTAAAATTTCTAAGCCTCAGTCCACACCTCCTTAAACTGGGAATAATAATGGTGCTTGGTGGGCCATCATGGAGTTAAGTAAGGCAAAGTTAAAAGCACTTCATGTAGGGCTGAGCAAAGCTTCCATTAAACCATAGCTGATGTCCTTTCAGACTCTCACTGACAGCAGGGAATCCCATCAGCCACTATGCCTGCAGAACATCAGTGTTGAAATAAATGTACACAAGCTACCCTGTAGTCCTCATAGTTTATCTTTGCCATCACAGAAATGCAACATTTTTCTGATTAACTAAAGACACTCACCAAATTGTAGACAGGTAAGGACTAATGTTGGGCTTATATCCAAAAGCAGTGAAAATACGGAACCCTTTCCTTCTTTCCTCAAGAGGCCCCATGCCTGAGTGAATCCTTTTAGAAGGCCAACAAGATGTGCATGTGGGAAAATAAAAGGCAAGAAAAGGAGTAATTTTATTGGGTATCTACCATGTACAGGATCTACCATGGGCAAAATATACAAATGCTATATGCAAGGGACTGATTACCTCAATAATGATTAGGAAGATAAATAGTTTTTCCAATTTTTTGAAGAGGAAATATACACTTAGAGAAATTAATAACTTATCCAAGATCACATGAGTTTCAAGTTAGAGTTTAAAACCAGGTAAAGTGGGTTCTAAAATATATATTTTCCCAATTCACTGCCCTGTCAGGGGTGCAAAATAGTCTTTCCTTCTTTCCTCCCTTCCTCCCTCCCTCCTTCCTTCCCTCCCTCCATAAATCCCTCCTCCCTCCCTCCCTCTCCTCCTTCCTTTCCTCCTTCTTTTCTTCTCTCTCTCTCTCTCTCTCTCTCTCTCTCTCTCTCTCTCTCTCTCTCTTTCTCTCTCTCTCTCCCCTCGGTTGAGTGGGAGGTCCCAGCAGAGGATCCTAGCGTTTATGAGAGAATATATGTGTGATAAGAAACACAGAAGCCTGAAGGTGGGGCCCTGACCCAACCTCTTTCTAAACGCCCTCTCTTCTGTGCCAGTTCATCATTTCAGGATCCCTCTCAGTGGCATCAGAACACCTACCGAGATCTTCTTGCCTGGTAAGTCCCATCTTCAGACAGGCTCTCCCAGCTGTGGACCCTTAGGAGAGACACACCACAGGGGAAAGAAGCTCACACACAATGCCTCCCTCATCCTTGAACCTGCTTATAACCAGACACAGGGCACTGACATGCATGCTCATTTACAGGACCACATGAACCTGACCAGAGTCACAACTGGGGAAAGAGTTCAGAAGACTCGGGGAAAGGAAGGGCAATACAACCAACTTCATTTAGGCATCAGGGTGGGGAGAGACAGAGAATAACTTTCCTAAGAGGATCTTACAAGAGGAGGCAAAAAGCTACCTGGGGTGCAGGGCTCCCCTCCAGCAGAGCAGGCACTGACTGCCTGGAGCACACAGAGCCCAGTGCCAACATTTCTACAGGGAAGCCAGGGGAGGCTCAGACAGCAGCTTCCCTAAGGAATCCTGCCAAATAAGCTCTGTGAATCAACGTGAGCAAGGCTTGGTGGTCCCCAAGGACTGGATTAAGAAAGTACCTTTGCTTCTCTCACAAGCAGGTTATCTGGGGCACGGGGCCCCAAACTGAACCAGTCCCAAACCAGATGAGATCTATTTTAAAATCTCCACAGGGAAGGTCAATTCTGGGCATGTCTTTCTGCACATTTACCAGAATTTTGGAGCATCAGAACCTGTCACATCCCAAGACACTTGGGTTAAGTTTCCTACCCATCTCCTGGGGGATAAATGGGTCAAGTGTTTCCCAAAGATTATTCTTGGGGATACTTGTCCCACAAGATACTTTATGGTTAGATAAACTTGGGGGAGGAATTGGGAATATCTATTTAGTAGTCCCCTCTCTGGAAGATCCATAATCCATGTTAAAGGCTCTGAGAAGTCCTGCACAAAATACCTGTTTAACATTTTTCAGCCCAGGTGTTTTCAAAGCTAATTCACCACCATTTTACTTTTTTGCATAGTACACCTCTTGCTCCAGGACTAGGATTCTAGGAATGCACATTAAGAATCACAAGTTTAACCTATGCTCAACTCAACTACAATCATTTTTCTCTCATATCCTGACCCTCTGTGTCTTCTTCAGCTGAATGGCAGCTTGGGCTTGAACATCATCAGTGCAGTCTGTTCTATGGTTGGAATCTCGCTGCTCATCACAGATCTGATTATCAACCCCCTACATTATTACTATCCCAACTACCATCTTTACTGGGGTGTGGTGAGTATTCCTCTTGGCCAATGCTCCTCTGGGTTCCAGCTTAGCTATGTTTAGGAAATCATGGAAAGGGCCTGACCACCAAGCCTCTTCACCAAGCACCAAAGAAAACAGAGATTTTGTCAGAATCAAAACAGAGTTTCAAGTGTGTAGCTTTATTGCTGTTACTCTAAGCATGTGACTTCTTAGTCTTGGTTTCTATCTTTATAAAACAATACCACCGGTAGATGAGTGGATAAAAAAGTTGTGGTACATTTACACCATGGACTACCATGCAGCAGTAAAAAGGATCTCTTAGCCTTTGAGACAGCATGGAGGAACTGGAGAATATTATGCTAAGCAAAATAAGCCAGTCAGAGAAAGACAGGTATTACATGATCTCACTCATATGTGGAATCTAATGAACAAAATAGATCTAGAGACATAAAAGCATGGAACAGACTGTTGAATCTCAAAGGGAAGGCAAAGGTCGGTGGGTGGGTGGGTGGGAAGAGATCAACCAAAGAACTTGTTTGTATATATGTATAACCCATGGACACAAACAATAGTGGGGTGGGGGCAGGCTCTAAGAAGCCAAAGGAAGAAAAAAGGGGCATATGTAATACTTTTAACAATGAAGATTTTTTTAAAAAAGAAAAGAAAAATACAGTTCCTACCTTATGACATTGTTGGAAGAATTAGATGCAGTTATACAGATAATGCACCGTACCTACCAAGCTGCACCTCTACTCACATGCTTGCCTTCTTGCCCATTACTATGGACAAAGGGCTCAGTAAAAGTGTGCGGAGAAGGGATGGAGAGTGAATATTTAAGGCTTTGCAGGCCATCTGGTCTCTGTTGCAAGTACTTAACCTATTGTGAAAGCAGCCATAGAATATGCATAAACAAAGCCGATTCTCATTTGCTATATATAGACCCATGCTATCCAAGAGAAATCTAATGTAAGCCTCATATGTGACTTAACATCTTCTAGTTGCCACATTTAAAAATTAAAAAAAGCAACAGGTGAAACTAATTTAATAATACATTTTATTTAACCCAATTGATCTAAAATGTCATTTCAATATGTAATTTGGGTTAAAAAATTATTAACTTAATATTTTGCATATTTGGTACCACATCTTTGAAATCCAGTGTTGTTTTTGCATTTACACCACATCTCAAGTCCTCTGGGCACTGGTCCTAACAGATCTGAAAGTGCAGCTATGGATGAGTTCCATGTAAATTCAATGTCTCCCTCTGCCCAGCAGCCCTGTCCTCTCTGCCCACTCAAGGTTATCACTCCATGTACTTCTCCTCTCTCCCTTGCCCCCACCTCTCTTCTACATCACTTTCCCCCTCTTGCTACAGATTTTCTCTAAGCATCTGAACACACTTTTGTTTTTTCATCTTAAGAAACAAACCAACCTTCCTTGGTTACTTCAGCTACCACCCCATTTCTCTGGCCCTCTCTGCAGATAATTCCTTAAAAGAATTGTCTACCTCACAGTCTCCAATTCATTCCTCTCATAATCTCTTGAGCCCACTCTAGCCATATTTCCAGCCTCATTTCTCCAAAAGCCTCCTCTGCTCAAGGTCCCCCATCATTCCTCCTCTTTGGTGGACTTCCCGTGGCTCCCAGGCCCTGCAGCTGGTGTTCCTGTACCTCTGCTGGTTGCTCTCTTCTCTGTCCATTTTGCTGGTTCTTATTTTTTCCCCAACTTCTCATGCTCAGTCCTCAGTTTTCTTCTGTTTCTCTCTCTACGCCCTGCCTTGGCAGTGTCATCCAGTCTGGTGACTTGCAACACTTTCTCTATGACAATGACTCCAGTTGCACAGCTTCCCGCAAAATATCTCTCGAAACTCCGGTCTCTTGTATCCAGTTGTCCACTCACTATCTTGAAGTTAACATATTCAAATCTCATCTCTAGATTTTACTTCCCAAACCTTCTCTCAGGTTGCCTTTTGCCGGTTGATGGCAACTGCATCCTTGCAGTCACTGAGGACAAAAACGTAGTGAAATCATTGACCTGCTCTCTGTTTCCCACACCTCTCAGCAAACTCCTCAGCAAAATCCTGCTGGTTTCATCTTTAAAACGAATCCAGAATCCAGCCATTTTCACCATTTTCTCAGTCATCACACTGGCTGGAGACACTACCACCTGACTTCTAATCTCATTTCTGCCCATGTCTGACCTTGGAAAGAGAATTCTTCCCTTCTGGCCACCCACCCTCCTCCTGCCTCAGTCCTGAACAAGGAGAGCTGGACTTCATAGCTTAGCAAAAGATGAGCCAGCCAAGGATGGGTTACTGCAAGGGCTCAATAAACATGAATTAATGCTCACCAAATAATAACTATCTAAGCTGTTTGAGGATCCCTTCTCCCTCATGGAAGGGTGTTTGTTTTTTTCCAAATACAGTTGACATACAATACTATATTATTTTCAGGTGTACAGCATAATAATTAATTAGACACATATAATTAATGAGGTGATCACCCCAATAAAGACTTTATCCACATGACATCGTACATAGTCATTACAATGTATAATTGACTACATTCCCCATGCTATACTTTAACTTACTTCCCTGTGACTATTTTAGAACTGATTTGTACTTCTTAATCCATTCACCTTTTTCACCCAGCCTCTAGCTCCCCTCCCATTAGAAAGTTTTATTTATGAAAGAATGTTGTTGTTAAAAATACATTTGAAAAGGACCAGCTTCATTTGCAAAGGGCCCTTCTCCCTAAGCTTCTGTGATATCTTGACTAAGACATCGTCATCCTGTTATCCCCTTTGCCTGGACACATGTTCAAACCCACATCACTGAATCTTCTACTGAGAAACTATCTCTCCTTAATGCCTTGAGACACTATTTTTAACTCATTTATACCTGTTACCATGTCTGATTTGAATTATAATGATCTACATCTTTATCTGCCATTCTCACTAGATTGTGCCTCTCAGGATGCTTTCTTAACCAATCGTAGCAAGCAGATGTTTAATAAATGCTTACTAAATAGGGAGGGAAGAAAAGGAAAGTGAAGAGGAATGATCTTTCCATGAGAGAGGATTCTCTGAGCAGCCAGCTATCACCAATGCCATTTTAAAAATCATAATTGACAAATATTTGTTTGGTACCTACCATGTGCCATGCACTTTGACTTTCATATTTATTTTCTCCTGTAATTGAAACCCAAGTGGTTATTGGGGTCATTCATCTCTTGTCCTCTTACGATAAAGTGGATTCTACCCAAACTCTCTCCCCAGACACAGTGGGAGACCCCATTTTCCTGAGCATTGTTGGAGAACAGCAAGGGATGGGCTTAGAATTCAGGGGTAGGGAAACTTTTTTCTACCAAGGCCCATTTGAATATTTATAACATCACTTGCAGGCCATACAAAATTACAAACTTAAAAATTAACCTGTTATATTTGGTCAAACATTTAATTAACTTACCTCTAATGCTTTGGCACAGCGGTTCTCAACCTGTGGGTCATGACCTCTTTGGCAGTCGAACGACCCTTTCACAGGGGTCGCCTAAGACCATTCTGCATATCAGATATTTACATTACGATTCATAACAGTAGCAACACTACAGTTATGAAGTAGCAACGAAAATAATTTTATGGTTGGGTCACAACATGAGGAACTGTATTGAAGGGGCCAGAAGGTTGAGAACCACTGCTATGGCAGGTCCAGACCAAATGATTTCTTGGGCCTGGCCAGACATTCCCCACCCCTGGCTTAGATGTCTCCTGGTGCTCACGTGAAATCTACTGCTGAATTAGTTCCATTTGGGGATCCTTTTACTGATTGTTTTCCCAAGCTATAAAGACAGTCCCAATGATTTCTCTTCACAAAATGCCATGGTCGCAAACCAGGAAGGTTGCTTTAGAAGCTGACTCTCTCTAAAGGTTTGGAGGGAATGGTGGAGGTAACTACTGATGCCTGGAGGTTAGACATTCCTGTTTTGTAATGTCTTAATTTCTCACAAGATGCCTTCTCCTGCAGACTCCACCTTCTGGTCCCGTCATTTCCTTCTCCTCTCTGTGGCCTGTCCTTACTCCCAAATTTCTATTCACTCCCTACACAGAACAGTTTCACTCTTTCACTGTCTCACTCCACACCCCATCCTTAGGTCTCGTGCCCTATACCTGAAACAAGTCATCAAGGTGTTTCCCTAAACAATGTTTCCCTTAGAAGAACACAGGTAGTAAGTGTTAAAATAATTCTTTTACAAATGCACTTGACCCTCACAAAACCTGGTGAGATATTTTCTCCACGAGGCTGAGATGAGGTTAGAGGACTTCCTCAAAGCCCTCGCCATGATCCATAGCACAGCTATGCTTTCGGCCAAACTTCACACTCCCAGGGCAGTACTCATGACTTTGTGTTCCTTCTGATTCTAGTCCCCTGGAGTAGTTACTTCTGCCATGCTGCTCATCTTTAGCCTCCTGGAGTTCTGCATTGCCTGCATGTCTACCCACGTTGGCAACCAACTACTCCGCCATTCACACAACCGCGTGAGTTTGTAGGACCTTCAGAGGGTGCAAACATTCCCCAAAGAGTGTGGGGACCAGATGGGCCTACAGGCTCCCTTTCCTGCCCAGAATGTCTAAAGGCCTTTTTGCATACACGGTTCTCACTAATGTACCTCCTGTGCCTATCTTTTCCAGGGGCCGGTGGTCTTCCAAACCATCTACACCAATCCAGAACCATTGAACTTGCCACCAGGTTTCAATGTGGTTCAGGGCTCCCGATAAGCCAAAAGTTCTAGAAGCATCTTTCACTGGGACCAAAAGAAGAACTCCCCTTTCTAGGCTTCTGTAATTCAGCTTCTTCCTTCCCTGACAAACTAAGGAATGTGTTTCCCCAACTGTTGGCACCCTTGACTTCATTCTCTTCAGCCTGTAAATCATGCTGTTCCTCTATTTAAAAAGGAGACAGGACTTTGAAGTGGATTTTAGCAAAGAGGTCCTCCCTAAGACATCAACTTGTGGGACATCCAGTGCACATATTTATTTACTTACCTGTGTGAGCTTATGAGTTAGAGGATCAAATCATTCTCCCAATCATTCACTCACTGAATAAAAGTGCAATGAGCATTTGATATGTTCAAGACTCTCTATTCATGACAAGAGGAGGGTGAACATGAGTGAACACACAAAGTACTGGAATGTGTAAACCATTTGCTCTTAATTGTCCTTGTTTAGGGAAGATAAAACCTTGTGATTCATTAGCTGGCTGTAAATTACTCAAATTATTTGGCTTTAATTATTTTGTCTCAGTTTCCCTTATTCCACCTATCAAAGAATTTCTCTATTCTTGCTTCCTACTATCCTGCCTCAATATTTCCCAAGTTATTCTGCTCAATGCTGTTTGACTTGCATTATCTCATTTCATAGCCAAACATTACGGAGTGACATTATCTATGTCTTAAGAACAAGAAATATGAAAAATCTGGGACTCAGAAAGGCTAGGTAATTTTCCCAAGTCCATACCACTAGTAATTGTGGAAGCTGGATTTGAATCGTGTTCTCTGCCTCCATATTCCATGCTATTGACCACCTCATCTTGTCATGTCCCAAGTGCTGGTCCCAGGACAGAAAGAAAGCATGCCAATGATGGCAATGATGATCAAGTCCTATGGGTCCTGGAATCATAATATTCTGAGCTACTCACTCAGTGGGAATGGGTTGGCTATGATCCACCCACTCTTGCCCTGATAATCAGAGATTCCCCTGCTGGGAACAGCTATAAGCACATGACCATGATTAAGGGAAGGGGTCTGTTCATACAAATAGAACTTTACAGGCAATAAAAAGGATAGAATAAATAAATCTCAAAAGTGGTACACCCACCAATATCTAATGGGACTGAGTTACAGGTTTCAGAAAATACTACTCAACAAAACACAAGCCAGCCAGGAAGTAACACAGAGGGTAAAGAAATAACCAGGAAAAAAAAAAGCATTTCCTACTATAACCATCAGCTCCACACAAAGAAGGACAAACACCAATAGGGCAAAGGAAGGTAGGGAAAAGGAGAACAGAAATACACCTGTGAGCATCACCTTCTCTGACCTCCTTTCCTCTTCCTCAGTGATCCCTGCTTTCATACCACCTCAATCACTCCCTTAGGCATACCTTAACCCGGTCCTTTCCACAACTGCACCCCCTCCATAACATCAGTTTCAATGTCCCTTTCTTCAGCCTCTACCTCCTATCTTTCCAACTCACTGCCCCAAGTCCTATAGTTCTCAACTCCAACAGGACCTACAGCCCATCCATCTCTCATCACTCATATTAGACTCCCATGGCTCATCACTAAAATCATTTCCAACTCCCTTGCCCCCATCTCACCTCAGTGTACTGTCTGAAAAAAAAATCCCAACCCTGGGGGTACAACCAAGATGGTGGCATAAGTAACTGAACTTGCTGCCATGCACAACCACATTAAAACTACAACTAAAAGACAAAACGAATATAATCCAGAACCACAGGGAGGCTGGCTGAGTGGAAATTCTACAACTAGAAGGAAAGAGAAAAGCACATTGAGTCCGGTAGGAGGTGCAGGGGTGTGGAAATGTGGAGGTACGGAGGCACGCAAGAAAGGAGCTGGCAACTGGATATGCTGTTGTCTTTTTCAACCAGAAGGGAGATACAAGCTCTCGAGTTCTCTGAACTCCAGTTCCAGGTGAGAATTTGGGGACCCAGACTCATACGGGGAGAAACTGGACTGTCTGGCATCGGGCCGGAACGTGAGGTTGGCTTTCTCACAGAGGTGCTTGCAGCATTCATTGTTCCTGCATGGGCCGTGGGACACAGAGACCCAGGAACCTATCCGGGGGAGGGCCAATGGCCAACCATTGTTGTTTGATTCCCTGAGACCACACCCCACCCAATTTACAACCCCACCCAAGCTGTGCTCAGAGGCTTTTGCATACTAATAGCCTGGCCTTTCTCTGCCTAAAAACCTGTCAAACTGCAGCTGGGTCAGAGAACCCCAGAACTTCCAAAAGAAGACCTAAGGCTCATCAACAGCCTGCATTACTTCACAGCTTCACCTCATCTGGGCACCTCCAAACCCCAAACAAAGAGGAGGAATCTGCAGATCTCTCTGTAGCTCCTGCTGGGTGGCCTCAGGCAGTGGCTGACTTTGCACCTCCTTGGAGATCCAAGAGCCAGTCTACCCAGTGGTCAGAGTGAGACCATCCAGATTACAACTCTTCACATCCATAAGAGACACTCTCAGGGGGCAGACTCAGTGAGCACCAAAGCCTCACTGAAGCAAGTCCTGCCCCATAAGGGTGTCTCCAGCACAGAAGTTCTCCCATTGTAGACACAACTGGCTCTCACAGTCAATTGACCTGGAGGTCAATTCCAACCAGTGATACCAAAAGCAATGAAGGCTTAACTACAACAAGACTGTGCATACAGCCCACTAAGGGGTGCACCAAGAGTGTCCACTAGTGGTAATTGGGGAGGCTGAGCCACTGGGCCCTAGAGGACACCTAGCACACAAAGCCACTCGATCAATAATGGTACACAGGGAAGTAGCCAAAATGCAGAGACAAAGAAACAGGTCACAAATGAAAGAAATGGAGGAAAGCAAACTACTGGATATAGAGTTCAAAACCACAGTTATAAGGCTGTTCAAGAATCTTCTAGAAACCTCCAAGAAATATAGTGAGACCCTCAAGGATATGAAAAAGGACCAATTAGAAATTAAGCATACACTGACTGAAATAAAGAATAATATACAGAGATCCAACAGCAGACTAAAGGATCCCAAGAATCAAGTCAAAGATTTGAAATACAAAGAAGCAAAAAAACACCCAACCGGAAAGCAAAAGGTAAAAAGAATACAAAAATATGAAGATAGTGCAAGGAGCCTCTGGGACAACTTTAGGCATACCAAATTATAGGGGTGCCAGAAGAAGAGAGAGGGCAAGATATTGAAAACCTATTTGAAGAAATAATGACAGAAAACTTCCCCTACCTGGTGAAAGAAATAGACTTACAAGTCCAGGAAGCACAGAGAACCCCAAACAAAAGGAATCCAAAGAGGACCACACCAAGATACATCATAATTATGTATGTATGTATGTATGTAAAAATGCCAAGAGCAAAAGACAAAGAGAGAATCTTAAAAGCAGCAAGAGAAAAACAGTTAGTTACCTACAAGGGAGTACCCATATGACTGTCAGCGGATTTCTCAACAGAAACTATGCAGGCCAGAAGGGAGTGGCAAGAAATATTTAAAGTGATGAAGAGCAAGAACCTACAACCAAGATTACTCTACCCAGCAAAGTTATCATTTAGAATTGAAGGTCAGATAAAGAGCTTCACAGATAAGAAAAGGCTAAAGGAGCTCATCACTGCCAAACCAGTATTATATGAAATGCTGAAGGGTATTCTTTAAGAAGAGGAATAAGAAGAAAAAGGTAAAGATAAAAATTATGAACAACAAAGGACAACAAATACATACAAATACATATCTATCAACAAGTGAATCTAAAAATCAAGAGAATAAAAAAATCTGATGAACAGAATAAACTGGTGAATAGAATAGAATCAGGGGCATAGAAAGGGAGTAGACTGTTAATTCTCGGGGGGAAGGGAGTGTGGGGGGTGCGGGAAGAAACTGGACAAAAATCGTACACCTATGGAAGAGGACAGTGGGGGGGCAGTTAAGGTAGGGGGTGGGGTGGGAACCGGGTGGAGGGGAGCTATAGGGGGAGAAAGAGGAACAACTGTAAAAATCTGAACAATAAAGATTTATTTTTTAAAAAAATCCCAACCCTGGTTTAACCCACTGACTACCTACTGAGTGCCAGAAAATTGTTCTAATCATTATGCTTCATATCCCTACTCTATACTCTTTTGAAACCTCTAGACAAAATATTTCATACCTTATCCCCTTTTCTGAAAATCTCAATACCTCTTCTGCAATTCTCATCTCTCTTAATGAACCTGCTTCCTATTTCCCCCAGGAAATTGGATACATCAGAAGACTAGATCTTTCTGTGTCCATTGCCTATCTTCCCACCAGTTACTACAGAGGAAGTTTTTGGGCTCCTTCTACCTGGCACCAGATTCCACCAGATTCCACCCATCTCATCTACTCACTCTTTCCTACATCATAATTCAATTTCCTCATGAACTAAATGGAATGAATAATAGCACGTACCTCCGAAGGTTGTTAACAGCAGCAGAAACTAAAAAGCATTGAATGCCTCCTGCACGCCAGGCACTGTGCTAGACACTAGACGAGCATCTCTCTTTTAACACTCATAGCGATTATGTGAGAGTGGAAGTGAGGCAGTCACGTGGCTTTTCTGGCTGCTCTCAGGCGAGGCAGACAGCCGAATTTAGTCATCAGAGTGTTCAGTCTTATGTTACATCGTAACATGAATTAGGGCACGTGGATCCTCAGCCCTGCACAAGTCAGGTAAGAAGGGGCCTTGGTGGGCTCCCACTCACTTTCCACCATCTTTTCCTCCTCCCGGCCCCCTACCTTACCTGGCTAACTGTGTTTCCACCCTCTTCAGGGCTGGAGAATGGAAGGAAGAGGTTGAGGGGTTAGGGAAACATAAGCTTACTTATTACTCTTGTTAGCTGGCATCACCCTCCCTGAGACTGGCGGTGTTTAAGCTGACTGCTCTGCAGAGGTGGTGGACAGGGCCTACAGAGACACCCCCATCACTCAGGGTCTCTCCTGTGCACCTCCTCCAGCAACTCTTCCCCTAAATGCAGGGCAT